ATCATAAGAATTATTAACAACACAGGTCCAAGTGGCAACAGCTCCTTCACAAACCACTTGTCAGTGATAAACTAACACTAGCTGTGAAGTGGAGTAGACAATATTAATTCATCATACAATGAGGCTAGCAGTACTAACCAACAGAAGGAACAAGGAGCAATAGATGAAGTAATACACTCATCCTGGGGTAAGGATCCTGTAGTGTCAGGATTTGACACCAATCACACTGTGGGCTTTGAAGTGTGAGGATTATGACTTGGCACTATGCCATTGATAATTGGTGTTAAGTTTGATCATAAATAATCATAAATTTATTGATGTCTTTATGCTGTGTAGCAAGTTTGAGCTGATTCCAACTTCATTTTTTAAATTTATGGCCATTTTAAGAATAGCTAGAAGTATCCCTAATATCAGTATATATTAATCCTCCTTCATCAACCAGTGATGAGTTACAGCAGTTATTATCATTACTACCATCATGGGTCTCTACTATTAGCTGGACTTCAGTATTAATTTGTATTAATACTTTTGTACCAATAAATTGAAATAGAGGGAAAGAGACAAGTGAATGAGTGTCTATTGTGACATATACAAAATGCATCAGACAAATTATTAAAATGAAGAATTCTCTTTTTCAATTTTGGCAAAATTTGTTCTTGGATCCTATATACAGGGATTTTGGCCTAGCTGATTCTTAAGCAACTTAAATTTAAAATTTGTAAAAAATCCAATTTTGATTAAAATCAGCTCAAACTTTGTATGCAACATAAAAACATATAAATGCATCAGAAAATGTCACTTTTATTTGTATAAAAACATTTCATTAATTTTAGTAATTTATTTCAGTATTTTTATTGTGAATAACTCTTTCCTTCTAGTTTCATTGTCATTGTCAATTAGTCTCAATAAACAATCCATTGTTTATTGTAATGTAATGAATGTGTACTGAACTGACTATCAACAACAATAACAACAACAATAGAAGTTATGAACACACAATATATAACTAATGGAGAATACAATAGAATAACTAATGGACATATAGAACAATAACAACACAATAGACTACATGTCACAAGGAACTGCTCATTATGAAGGAATAACTTAGATAGTGAAAAAAGTATACTGCATATTGTATAATGAATGTAGTATAAATTGTACAATTGGTATGCATATAATTTTTTTGTATGCGTTCATTTTTTGTCGTATACATTATATCAATGAATGTTATCATGCTAAGGTGTGGCAGTAACAACATAAACAGTTTACATTATTGCAGTAGCATAAACTGTACTTCTTACTAATGGCTACTACTGTTATCTGGTGTCTTGTATTGACTGGATATTTGATTGTATCAGGTAAGTCTATCAATCTATTATGATCTTATTTATTGTACTGCTACAGCAACTGCTTCAGTAATCACTCAAGCCTCTCCACCTTATTCTCCAGTGTGTCCTAATGATGAACTAGTACTGACTTGTGTATTTCATGGTACAGGAGAAGTATACGGCAGAAAGATAA